ATTAGCTTTGCACCTGCTCTATTCAGGGCCACCGGCACTCTGCTGCACAGTCCAGCTCCTGGGCCATGTTAACTTCCCAGCCTGCCTGCAGGGCAGCTATGAAACATGGCTTCATTTTTAGAAGTGACATTGGGTTTCACATCCATCTGGAAATACACACGCCCTGCTCTTGAAGCCCCCTATACCCCCAATATACAGAGCTTCTCTCTGCAGTTCGCTAGGAAGGCACTGCAGGAAACTCTGAGTTTAGAAATACCTGGAGATTTGCGGGTGGTATAATGCCATGCAAACCACCTTCAAAAGCAGCCATTTTTCCAGAAGTGAAATAAATCTTTTAAAATAAATAAGTAATAAATAGGTGATTCCTGTAGCCTGGAGATCAGTTGTAATTTTGGGACTCTCCAGTCCCCTCCTGGAACTTGGCAACCTTACAATGCAGTGCTAGCCAGGAGGGCAATGGAGGGGGGGAATAAAGGAAAGTAGGGTTCCCGACTCTAGGTCGGCAAGTCTCTGGAGATTTGGGGGGCAGAGTCTATGGAGGGCGGGATCTGGGGAGGGACCTCAGCAGGGTGTCATGCCATAGATTCCACCCTCCAAAGCGGCCCTTTTCTCTAGGGAAACTGATCTCTGTTGTTGTCTGGAGACTAACTGTAATTCCAGATTTCCAGGGTGCATCTGTCAATAGGCAACCCTAGCAGGAAACCCATTTTTTTACTTGTGCTCAAAGGGGAGCCCTCAGATTTAAACACCCGAGCAATGTTTTCCCATGTGATAAGTGTCACGCCTTTTTATGTACAACCCTGTCAGCCCAAATTGTGACCGTGTGCTCTCTCAGTTTAAGATGAGTAGCCGTGTTTGTCTGTAGCAGTAGAAAAGAGCAGGAGTCCAGGAGCACCTTAAAGACTAACACAATCTGTGGCAGGGTATGGGATTTCATGAGTCACTGCTCCCTTCTTCAGGTGACACAATCTGTGGCAGAAGGGTATGAGCCTTCCTGAGTCACTGCTCACCTGAAGAGACTAACACAATCTGTGGCAGGGTAGGAGCTTTCGTGAGTCACTGCTCACCTGAAGAGACTAACACAATCTGTGGCAGGGTAGGAGCTTTCGTGAGTCACTGCTCACCTGAAGAGACTAACACAATCTGTGGCAGGGTAGGAGCTTTCGTGAGTCACTGCTCACCTGAAGAGACTAACACAATCTGTGGCAGGGTAGGAGCTTTCGTGAGTCACTGCTCACCTGAAGAGACTAACACAATCTGTGGCAGGGTAGGAGCTTTCGTGAGTCACTGCTCACCTGAAGAGACTAACACAATCTGTGGCAGGGCAGGAGCTTTCGTGAGTCACTGCTCACCTGAAGAGACTAACACAATTTGTGGCCGGGTATGGGATTTCTTAAATCACTGCTCCCTTCTTCAGATAACACAGTCTGTGGCAGAAGGGTATGAGCCTTCCTGAGTCACTGCTCACCTGAAGAGACTAACACAATCTGTGGCAGAAGGGTATGAGCCTTCCTAAATCACTGCTCACCTGAAGAGACTAACACAATCTGTGGCAGGGTAGGAGCTTTCGTGAGTCACTGCTCACCTGAAGAGACTAACACAATCTGTGGCAGAAGGGTATGAGCCTTCCTAAATCACTGCTCACCTGAAGAGACTAACACAATCTGTGGCAGGGTAGGAGCTTTCGTGAGTCACTGCTCACCTGAAGAGACTAACACAATCTGTGGCAG